ATTCATATACTTACACAGGTGTATGCGTGTAGATATAATAACAGATAACATTTATATAGTGCTTTAAGATTTGCAAAGTACTTTACATGTATTACCTTATTTGATCCTTATAGCAATCCTGTCAGGTGCATTTAGTTTCCCCATTTAAAAATGAAAAAAAAGAGAGAAATTAAATGACTTGCTTAGAATAACAGTTATCTGAGGCATGATTTGTACTCAAGTCTTCCTTATTCCAAGTCCAGTGCTTTATGAGTGAATGGATGATTGAATGAATAAAAAAGCATTAATCAAGTGCTTGTAAAACGTTGTAGTCAAGACAAGAGATAGAAGTAGATGTAAGACAGTACCTGCTCTTGAGGAACTTGCATTCTAATATGGAAGACTACACACATGGAAGGTAGAAAGGTCCTAGGGTAATTTGAGTATAGTGACAAAGCAGATAATAAAGAAAACTTTAATGTAATTTCCATTGATAAAATACTATCAGTTTCCCACTGTTGAACCATTTGACAGTGCCAAGGACTTGGATGACAAGAATTTTCTTTTGTTTGGTCTTCATTATTTATGGCTATAACACCTTTAGGAATAGAATGGCTTTCTGAGAGGGTATGGCAGAGATATGCCTCTCTTCAGAGGTTCCTTCCCAGGATTATGTTCTGGAAACAACTGTATTCCCAAGGCTCCTGAGTTCAGTGTCCTGGTGTATCTGAGGGGCTGGTTAAAATAATGTTCAGGGTAATAATGGGGGGTATTAGTTTGACTTGCCTGGCACATGCTACCTCCTGTCTTTCCCTCCGAGTTCCTTGCTACTTCAGCTAGACTATCTTGCCTTCCCAATGGGTAGCAGTTGGTTGGCAGTTCATAGAGATGGCCATCCCTTTTCACACAAGAGTTGCTTCCCCTCATGCTGGCTGTAATGTCATGACTGAAGTAAGATCCATGTTTTAGGGGTGGGAGGAGGGAGAAGGATGTTGATACTCCCAGGGCTCCTGTGCTTGTTACTTAATTACTGAGATCCTGCATGGATGTGTGTGTATTTATATTCACTTGAACACAGTTTGTCATTTGTTTCATAAACATTCATTTTCCTTATAAATAAATGATAAATTTACTGGTGTATTTTCCTTAAACTTTCCTTTTAAATAAAACATAATTGACTTATTAAATCCTGGGTGAATTTATTTATTATGATTTCAAATATGAAGAATGGACATTCTTTTTCTTTTTTTGCCATATTGCAATTTTAACTCTTGAAGAGCATATTTATAAAACATGAATTCTTTCCTCATAATTTGATACTAACAGGTTTACGGAATGTTAATGTTCTTTGTTCTATTTTTTTTATAATGTTTATTATATTCCATTGATCTATTCTTTTATTAATTTGCCCAGTTTCAGCTTATTTTGTTCATTAATACATTATATTGTTTTCAACTCTGAACTGGTGAGTGCATGTTCATTAATGATCCTTTTTTTAAAAAAGCATACTTTGGTTTTCCTCTTCCCATAGTTTTTTTTTTTGCATAAGGATTTCAATGTCATTTGCCCAGTTTTTTTTTTTAAATTTGGTTAGGCAACAAGGTTAAGTGACTTGTCCAGGGTCACACAGCTAGTAAGTGTTATGTGTCTGAAGCCGGATTTGAACTCAGGTGCTCCTGAATCCAGGGCCGGCGCTCTATTCACTGTGCTACCTAGCTGCCACTATTTTCCCAGTTTTATAAAATAACTCATTGGGATTGTGATTTTTATTATGTTAAATGAATATGTTAATTTAGAGGCTGTTACTATTTTACCTGTCCTAAATATAAACATAGATCACCTGTCCAGGGTGGATTGCTGGGGGGGGGTGAGGGTAGGTGGGTCATATAAAAATAACAATTGAAAACAGCCTGTTGGTCAACCATCCTCCTGAGATAAATTTCTCTTTTGAAAATTTATGTGTATATATGTATACACACACACACACACACACACACACACACACACACACGTAATATTTTACCTATTTTTTTTCCATTTCTCCCTGAATCCCTCTCCCATGCCCTCCCAGAAAGGCATTCATTTTAGCAAAGATTTTTTAAAAAGAAAAGAAAAAAGAGAAAAACCCAACAAAACCAATAAACATAGCAAAAATTATATGCAAAGTTGCTCTACCTCCTCAGAAGGTGGTGTTTCTTCTCATATCTCTCCTTTGGAGCCTTCTTTGTTTTTTATGGTTTTCCAGATTTTGGTTTAGATTGCTCTATGGTGTTCTTTTCATGAACATTTTTGTAGTTATGTAGCAAAGTGTGTTGCTTGCCTGGCTCTTTTTACTTTACTAGGCGACAGTTTTTTAAAGTCTTTCTGTGTAGATAGATAGATAGATAGATAGATAGATAGATAGATAGATATAGATATAGATATAGATATATCTACAGATATAGATATCTAGATATCTATATCTATAGATATATCTATATATCTATGTTCATCATGTTTATTGTTTCTTATAGCACAGTAATACTCCATTTTATTTCTGTATCACATTTTGGTGGGCATCTATTTTGTTTCCAGTTATTTGATATCACAAAAAGTGCTACTATAAGTATTTTTTTGTTTGTTTTGTTCAAGGACCTTCAGTAATTATTTGCCCAGATATATAATCTTTGAGTCTGAGAGAATGGATTTTATCCCCTTTATTTACATAATTCCATATTTCTTTCCAGATTGTACTAATTCACAGGTCCACTGACAATGAATAAATGGACTTGTTTTTTCAAATTTCCTGCAACATTAATTATTTATATCTTTTGTCATTCCTGTAATTTTGCTGAGCATGTTAAACCTTGGGATTGTTTTGATTTGGATTAACCTTATTATTGATATAGTTGTTAATAGTTTACTGTTTCAAGAACTGTTAGTTAATACATCCTTTGACCAGCTCCTAATTGGGAAATGGCTTTTGGCTATATATTCCTATTAATTATCTACATTTCAAAACATTTTCAGTGATATTTTACATCCTTTACTTCTTACCTTCTTATCCTCTATATATCAATTTTATTTGAACAAAAAATTTTCAATTTCATGTAATCGGAATTATCTATTTTGTTTTTCTTTTGTAAAATGACCTCAGTTTCTTGTTTGTATAAGAATGTGTCCTCTAGCTGTAGGTGTGAAAGGTATTAGATCTGCTCTTTTAATTTTTAATGATATGCTTTTTAGTATTAAGGTCATATCCAATTTGAATTTATTGTGGAATATGATGGATTCACAGAGAAATATTAGCTATTAAAGTAAATTAAAAATTAAATATTGGCTATTAAATTAAAACAGTCCAATATTCATTTTCCTCATTTCTAAAGTTCTATTCATTCTATTCTTTTATTTTTTCATTTCTTTTTTACTTTCATTGTTTCTTAATGTCTCATGGAATCATTCCCTTTCACTTCAGTGAGCTTTTTTTTTTACCTCTTTTACTAAATTGTTAATTCTCTCTTCATAATTTTGTTGAATTACTCTCGTTTATTGACCCAATTTTTCCTCTACTACTCTTATTTGGTTTTTAAAATATTATTTTGGCTTTCTTTTTTAATCCCTTTAACTCTTCTAGCAGTTCTTCTTGGGCTTGTGTCCAACGTACAGTTTTATTTGAGCCTTTGCTTGTAAGTGTGGTTTTCTGATTTTGTGTATTGAGCTTCCCTGTCACCATAGAAGCTTTTTGTAATCAGATTCTTTTTCTGTTGTTTGCTAATTTTTCTACTCTATTACTTGACTTTGGACTTTATGTTAGAGTTGGGGTTTCCTCACATCTAGGGAGGGATGGCTAGCATGAATTTCTGTAAGATGGATCTCCAGGCCTGTAGTATTTGTTGCTTCCAAGGTAAAATGGTCTCTGGTCACTGCCCTCCTGCTCTTGTGAAGTGGTCCTTACATAGGTAAGGCCCCTGTTCCTTTGTGACTGAGACTGCTCTTTTCTGACCTGGACTTGTGTCCTGGAACTGGGTGGTAGGATACGGAGTTGCCAAATGGCCTCAGATCTTGTACTCAGTGCTAGCACAATGGCCTGGAATCTCTTTCTGACTAGATGTTCAGTTGCTTTACTGTCCCTTTGCATTATCCATGCCTTTGCTCCTGAGGCTGCTGCTACAGCTGCCTCCTACAAAGCCCTGCTACTGATATATTTTCCATTTCAACCCAGGCGTGTCTCCCTGCATCCTTTCCCATACAATTATTTGCAGACCTCTCTTTTTTTGTCTGTCTAAGCTGCCCAGCACTGGAACAAGTACTGTCTTTTTAATTGGCTTTTCTGCTCAGAATTCACTTTGGTGGTTTCTGTTATCATTTTGTAGAAGAGTTTTTGGGGGAAGTTTTACAGTTGTGATCCTTCACTCTGTCATCTTTATAAAGCTCTAGTATTTGAATCAAGTTTTCCTGAGCGGTAAGGGAAGGTAGTAAGCATTTATATAGTGAGTACTCAATGCCAGGCAATGTGCTAAAGTGCTTTTTAATAAATGTTACCTTATTTGATCCTCAAAACAATTTTTCTAAGTAGGTGCTATTATTATCCTTTTTTTTATAGTTGATGAAATGGAAGCAAACAGAATGTAAGTGGTTTGCCCATAGCTAATAAGTTTTTGAGGCCAGATTTGAACTGAGATCTTTCTGACTCCAGGCCCAGTTATACCATCAGCTACCTCTTGACTACACATCTAGCACCCTATTTTGTATGCCACAAGCTACCTTAATATGTGATTTTAGTTTCTATTGTTATTTTTAAAGGCTTTGTCAGTCTGTTTAATACCTTTTGGATCCTCCAAATTCTAGCATTGTGTCCACGAATGAATTTGACCACAGACTACCGCTAGCCATTGATTTATTACAAAATCTGTTTCTATCTTTTTTTTTTTGTCTCAAAGTATACAGTGTTTGGTATTTGTAAATATTTGGTATTCATAAGTAGGTATCATATAAAAATACCTTTAAATTTTCAGTGCTATTTTCCTCTTCTTTCTGTTTAGCTGAAGGACACAAAATCAGCAGATCAAAAAACAACATTGCTCCATTTTCTAGCTGAAGTATGTGAGGAAAAGTATCCAGATATTCTAAGTTTTGTTGATGATCTGGAGCATATAGACAAAGCTAGCAAAGGTATGTATTGCTTCATTAAAACTTTGCTTTTTCTTGAATGTTGTTGATCATTAAGAACTGTTAAATGGTAATGAAAGTTAATGGATGAAAGATGTTTCCTAAGAATTTATGAAAAAATCTTCATATTTTGTGTCTGTGAACAACTTAGCTCAATATAAGTGTTAAATTGTATTTGTTTTTATTGTGAGAATGGAAAATAACAGCTGTTCTTTTGTAATGCCACCAGTCCCTGTTTCAGGAATACATAAATTATAAATGACCTATACCATTAAATGGCCACTGCTCAGGAACCTCACTTGCCATTGATAAGACACGCAGCCCATTTCCTACTATATTTCTTGCTACTTGATGCCCCGTTTTTTTTTTCTTTTAAAACTGAGTCTTAAAGATCCCTTGTCCAGACCTCTTTCCACTTCCGGTCTACTTCAGTCTTCCCTTGAATATGAACAATAGTATGGCAGCTGCCTAACCACCTCTTCAATTTTGCTTTCAAGAGCTAAATGGGATTATAAGGCCTTTGGGGGGGGTTTAGGACTTAACCCAACAGTCTTCTTCCCCAAGCTTGTATTCTCTTTCCTGCTTCTCAGAACTTGTAATAAAAATGTTAATTGTTAAATTAATAAAGTATGAAACTAAATTTTGTTAATACCACTGTACTTCAAATATGTCTGAGTAGTCAGTGTGAGTACTCCATTCATTGACGCAAATTACAGCACTCTACAACTCAATACATTTTCCTAAAGAGTTGCTATGGGTGAAGAATTTAACATAGTTTGGTCATTATAAAGATGGATATCTGAACTTAGCCTGGCTAGTTCTAAATTAAAGAAATACGGTCAATCACTATATCCATATTTCAGTGTTTTCCAACTTGAGCCCTGCCAGACCTTGCACTGGGGAGTATAGGTTTCCAAGATTCAGGGTTGCCTTCATGTCAACGTGAGTGATTGGCTCTAATTGAAGGTACTAGTACAGAATGACAGTATAAAACATCACAAATCACCACCATTTTAGTACCTAAATGCTGACCCTAAGATAGAGCAGTAGTAGAAATTCATTCTTCACAAAAACTCACAGTCTACTATGTTTTACATGATTCAAAGCTAATAAATTGCAATGCTAATAAATTCATAGAACTTTGTTATTTATTTATATCACTTAGTCAAAATACTGGGGGTTGAGGTAGGATTGAGAAAATTGAGGAGAATTAAAGAGAAAAAATTAAAGTATACATCTCTAATATAGGACATAAAATAAATATAGAAATGGATAATCAAAGTTGTCAAAATATTTTGTCAACTGCAGTGTTTCACCTATGCATGTGTGTGTGTGTGTGTATTCCTTCTAGAAAAGTGGCATTGTTTTTTATTGATAGCTTTTCTAATTTATATACAGTTGCAACACTTGCTTTGTATTATACAAATTGCATTTGAATATAATTTCATGAAGATCAGAACACTCAAGAGAGTGGGATCAGCTCTAGTGCCATCTGAAAATAGGTCTAAGTATAATGTTTTGAAACATAAGCTACAGGTTTGTAAATCCTAAACTATTTAAATGTATCAGATCAGTACTGTTAATATTGAGCTTAAACCAGATTTAGCTGAATTACAAATATAAATATTAAAATAATAAAAATCTTTACATTCTTCTTGGAGATACTTTCAATATAGGCTAAGACCTTCCACTGTGAATTTTTCACCTGATTCAGGTCTTCTATTTTTAGTTTATGTACATGGGATAACAGATAACTTTTCTGTGTTTTGCAGGGAGCTTTTTCCTATGTGTTTGGAACATAATTATGCTAGTTTAGAGACCATTTCCCCCCCTTAGAGCAGATTTTTGATACAGGATTTTTTAGTATAATATTTTCCAGTTAATGAATGAATTGAGATTTTGAAGATGTGGATGAAATGTTTTTAATGCCAAGATGGAATGTTTGCTTATGAGTATTTAGTCTGTTCTTATATGTTACTATTGAAAGGTTTCCACATTTGAAATCTCTTTGGTGAGCGATACTGAATTAGAAAGTACCTCTGTATTTAAAAAATAATATCCTGGTCATTAGATATTCCTAGAGACCAGCAGGGGGAATTTTCATTTCAGCTAATGAGCTTACCATTATGACAATTTCCAAAGATCTACTTCATTAGGATTGCTTCCTTTTAAAGATATAATAGCTTGTAGCTGTGTATTAGTGTTTCATTCTAAAAATGTTTTGGAGCATTATTATATTTCCATATGTCCCTATGTTTCCTTTTTTACAAATGATAGAGGTATAGGAATTACTATCTTCCTTTCTCCCCCTTGTATAAAGAGTTAAGCTAAATGGATTCTTATATTAAACAGGTTTTTCTATTTATAACAGTTAAAAAACAAACTTTAATCCACATGAAATTGGAATATCTTAATATTTAAATAGAATATAGAAGCAAAATTACTGATATTTACTAAATTAAATTTCTGTAATAAAGTTACATTCTATTGCATATGCCTTCACCCTAGTAATACCTTTAGTAGATATTCTTAGCATTCGCTAGGAGTTAGATCATGACTGTCATATTTTCACAGCCTTAAGCTCTTAAATTGGCATGACTGGTGAATGCTTTCTATTTTCTTCTTGTGCCTTTCTGAGACAGGTTCAATTCAAAACCGACCTAGCTTTAGGCCATTACAATGGCCCAGCAATTTACCAGGGTCATTCTTTATGTCAGTAGCTCTTAATTTTTCTTTTCTCTTTCCTTTTCCTAGACCTTTTTTGGAAGGTAAAAAATATTCTTAATTCTTCTTTCATTACAAAAGAATAACTCCTGTTCTTCTGTTAAAGTGCCCTTCAATTAATTGCACTCTCCAGTATCTGATCCTTTTCATTTCATGTTGCAGGATATAGAAGATCTGAATGATTTGGATACCATGTCTTAGTGTTCTCAATGTAGTATAAAGAGCAAATGGATGAGACAAAACTTAATTTTAACTCTTTTAGAAGATTGCTTTATACTTCCTTTTTTCATATTTCTCTACTTTTTTAACCCCGTTGATGATCACTTTTTTAAATTAATTTTTTTGATTTATCAACAATCACTTCCATATGATTTTGAGTTGAAAATTTTTCTCCCCCTTCCTTCCCAACACCCTCCCCAAGATGGCACACAATCTGATATAGGCTATACATATACATTCCTATTAAACATATTTTCACATTAGTGATGTAAGTAAGAATTACAACCATTAGGAGGAACCACCTAAGAAAGAGGAAACAAAACAGAAGAAAAAAAATAGTAAATAGTATGCTTCGATGTGCATTCAAACTCCACAGTTCTTTCTTTGAATGTGGATAGCATTTTTCATCATGAGACCTTTGGAGATGTCTTAAATCCTTGTATTGCTGGAAAGGGTTAAGTTTATCAATATTAGTCATCGCACATTGTGGCTGTTACTGTGTACAACTTTCTCTTGATTCTGCTCACTTCACTCAGCAGATGATCACTTTCAGTTTGAAAAGTTGAAAGTAGGGTCCAGTTACTTTGTTTCTTTTAGAAGTTGGCCATTGTAGCAGTAATTGTGGGTATTACAACATTGTTTAACACCTTCAATCTATTGTCAAGTTTAGTTAAAGTAAATAATGCACCTTCCTTCAGATTTTTTTTTAATCAATGCTGGTTGGGTATTAGCTTATTGCACCCTTGCATTTTGCACTTATCTACAAGAACGTGAGGACTACTAGTGTTCTAAAGAGCACTTTGACAGTTGCTACTCTGAGTCTGACTTCTTTGCCTCACTTGTGAATGAAATCATCTTCTAGAATCTTGTTTGTATCATTGTTAAACTAATTTTTTTGCAACCATCTACTTTGACCTCATACTGTTTTCCTCACTATCTAATTTTTTAGCTTTTGGAAATATCTGTATATATAATACACACACACACATATATGTTTTTCATCAAACATTTTTCTCTCATGCGTGCACACACACACGAGAACTTCTATTCAATCAAATTCATTTGGATATTCTTTATGTCCCGTTTTAGCATCTGGTTCCTTTTATCTCACTAAAATACTTACATACAGTAGCATCTTCTGAATTTTAGCTCCTCACCAACTCACAAAATCTAACAGAAGTTCCTCTCTGAATCTCAAATATTTGTTTTTTATTCACTTACTGAGTTCCCTTAGAATATTCAATTTCCAGGTGGCTGCCACCTGGAAATTGCATAGAGTTTGAAATTTTCAAATGAATCTATGCTGTAATGAGCAGTGGTGTTTTTCAAAGGCTCAGTTAACCTCTTCATGCTATCACCTTCATAAAATACTAATTAAAAATTTATTAGCAAGTTGGATCTATTTTATGTATTCAATATTAGTATTTCTGACATTGCATTTTGTTTTATAATTACAGAGGCAAAATAGGAAAACATTAATTTTAAAGTGGCATTAACATTTTGAGACTTAGGTTGGATGGAATAAATATAATATAGCTAGTTTAATTTGCTACAATAATATATAGCTAGATTAATTTGATTGGGAGAAATAGAATCATTTAATTTTATCATACATGTATATACTTATTCATTTTCTATTTATACTTGAAATAAATTTTAATTCCTCTTATAGTTCAACAAGCATCTATTAAGGGCATACTTGATGATAGGGACTGTCCTAGAGCTTGAAGGTACAAAGACAAGAGTAAACAGTCTCTGTCCTAAAGCTTCTGTTCCCCACTGGAATCATCCAGCCCTCCTACTTTTCTCTTTTGCCGAGAAGCCTGAGTTTCAGTCAAGCTTTTGCCACTTCCTTGCTGTAACTCCTCTGTTATTCATTATGTTAATGGTGCTTAATTTTTCTACTTCACATTTCATCCAAAATGAGTTTTGGTGTGTTCAGCTTCTTGCTCATGCATAGATTGCCAGAAATTTTCATTATGCTCTCTCTTTAGGGTTCCTCTCTTACCTTCAATTTATTTACTTCTCAAGTATCAGTAGTAAAGTTTTTGATGGATGGT